GCATGATTTGCATAAGACTATGGCTTGGGAATCACAGATTTGCATAACGTTACGGCTGGTGATGGCTAATTGGTCAGCCGGGAATCATGCCACATGACATTTGCATAGTGCTACGGTTCAGTAAGCACTAATTGGTCATCGAGTCCGATGTTGACGCTATAAAAAGGCGACAGTTCGACACACTGGATTTACGTCACTCTCGTCTAAGTTTGACTTGGGAAATTTTTTGTTCAATAATAAATGTGAATTCTTCCTGGAAAAAATAAGACATTCCCTGAAAATAAGACCTAGTGCATTTTTCAGAGCAAAAATTAATATAAGACACTGTCTTATTTTTGGGGAAACACGGTAGTTAAAATGCTTTTATAAGTATCAATATATTCTTGGGAGTCTGGAATGGATTAATCTAATTTACATTATTTCTTAGGGAAAGATTTGTTCAATACTCAGACTTCTAGAACAAATTAAGTTCAAATATTTTGAAGTACCACTGTATTTTAACTCTCATAATTTAGTTTTTATTATTTGATTAAAATAAAACTAAATTTTTAAATCTTTTTTTATTATTAAATAAAGTTGTAATTTTATTATAAAATATTTTTAGTTGATAATAGTTTAAAGATTTAAAAATAGAAATCATTTTAACTTTTGAAAAATTTAATAATTTAAGAACTAATGATTTACTTCCTTTACTCTTATTTTTTTGTTTAATCATTGGAATTTAATTGCTTTGTTGTTTTAACTGGGAATTGATATGGACTTTCTGTAATAAAGAATATAATGATGTTTATGCATTTCACATTGGTCCAAAGCATTCTTATTCCTTTCAATAATAAAATATTTTATTTTTTGTCTACACTCATCATAGAATTTTGTTTACACCAGTGGTTCCCAAACTTATTATTCTCACGGACACGTTCTCATAGCAAAAACCTGACCATGAACCCCAAGTGAAATAACAACTGCATTATAGCAAAATTTCAAATTTAACTTTGATGTCTTGGATGGTGAACGGTGACATAAAAAAAAAATATACTAAATGGAGAAGACATTGAGGTAGGCGTTACATGTAATGCCGACCTCAATGTCTTTTCCATTTAGTATACAATATTTGGTGTGAAAATCATCATATTGATCACAGAAATAAAATAGATGACCAGTACAACTTCTATATTTACAGCTCTATTTAAAATATGATGTATGTGGGCAAGCCACTACTATTTTGAGGTGGAGAGTATATATTTAAATTAAATAACTAAAAATATGATTAAAAATTGCGACCAGCATTGTGATGATGTCACAATAAATAATGCTTGTTTGGAACATATCTACTGTGTTATACTGTAATTAGGTTTGATATGCTTAAAATTGGAATAAAAAAAAATCAGATAAAAAATTTCTTATTCATTTGCATGGCCTCAGAGTTCTTGACATACACCACTTATGCAAAAAAAAAATTATGCAACTGTGATTCATATTATTGCAATAATTAGATATTTCAAAACAAAAGATATTGCTTTGTTTTGACTAATCATTTAGCAATGTATAAAGAAAGTTTATACAACATTTGGGACTTTTTCCATGAGAGTATGATGCCCTAGTTTACTGATAAAGGAGTTTAACCAACTTAAAAACTAATCAGTTTTTATGTGCAGTGGTACCTCAGTACTTGAACCATTCTAAACTCAAACAATTCGGTATCTGAACACAATTTTGAGGGAAAAACTAGCTCAGTACTTGACTTGAACAATCATGACCCANCCCCGCAAATACTCTTTTTTTGGCACGAAACTAGACATGTTTAACACAATGAAAAAATAAGTTGTTTAACACTTCGGTGAAATGACGTATACTGAATTTCAAGGTCACTTATTGTACTTCCTTACAGATGCGTCACCATCTAAAAATAGACACACGTGGTTCTGGTAACGCCATCTGTTGGAAAACAGCGAGAACTTATTCAAGGTCCTTATAGCTCCATTGATACAAAATCATGTTTTTCAATTATTTACAATTTTAATAATGGAAATTGCCAATGACTACAGTTTTAAATTTTTATGATGAAATAAAGTTAGATTTATAACTTTCAAACTTTTCCTAGAGATTAGAGTTCTAAATCTAAACTATTTCTTAGTTTCTTAGATTTAACTTGTTGTTTCTGTGATATTAAATTTATTTATTATATATCATAAATACATTATTTATGAAATTTTCAGGTGACCAAATTAATGTTGATATAAGCAGTCTTCATCATGAAGGCACTTTACTAAGATATTCCATATCATTTTTGGCATATGGCTATTTTGGTGATACATTATTTGAAAGTGAAAAACACCGATGGATGGGTCCAAAACGATATAGCTGGTCAGGTAAGTTGAATCTCCATTTTATCAATAGACTAAAATTGATAATTAACTTGTTTTTGAAATACTTAGTGAGCAGTTTATGTTCATGATAATATAAACCTGTTCATCTATTGTATGATATTGAATATTGTATTTTATATTGAATATTGAATATTAGTTGATGTGTTTTTTCTCAGTTTTAAAGAGGTTAAAAAATTTATGGACTCTAATATAGATTGAGAACAAAGTTTTCTTCAATTTCAATAACTGTCTGTGGTACAAACTGTACACAGTTAAACTGATGCAGGAATTAAGTTTTTGACACAATTGTAAATGATTGATTATTTTTATCATATTCAACAGAATCAATCAACTAATCAGCTTTTTTTATTTTTTTTATAACAATAGACCAAACCATCAATATTGGAAATATGTACAGAAATTTTATTTTGGTAACTTCTTTATTTTACTCTACTTACTAATTGAACAATTGTCAGAAATTGGGGAAGGTTGCTAAAAATTTACTGTAAAATTTATTCTGTTGTGAAATATAAATGTATTCAATATGATTACATGTTTAATACAAATATACTTTATTACACATACATAGAATATTATTACATTGAAAGGGTTATCACACTCATGAAACAGTTAATGCCTTATATATCTCCTAAAATGCATTTCGGCCCTTTGGTGTTAATAGCCCTTATCGATGAGGTGAACATCTTTAGGATAATTTTTTTGCTTTATATTTAAAAGAATTTATTACGAGACTTACACGTACAAAACAATAAAATTATAAAACTATCAACATCAAAATGTTTAAACATTTTAAATACTTCACAGGCTTGTGTGTGCTCCTAAGCTTTTTCTTTCAATCTCCAATTTACTACATGGCTGCCACTTACATCTCAACTTCTTGAAAAACTGCTTTGAAAGCTGAGATTAATCAAATAGGATTGTGATTACAGTCATTTTAGATGGTAGTTTTCCAAGGTCTTCCCCTTTCTGTGTTGATCTTTCAAACTGTTTCATTGAAATGACTAATGTACATACTATCTATCAGCTGATGACAGTCATATTTTATAGCAGTTTGGTAACAGGACATTCCTTTATTATGCAGAGCAATAATCACATGTAAGCACTTTGTCTTCAGACAATGTAGTTTAAACTAACAAAGAAATCCTTCAGAAGTGTAATACAAGATGTTCAACTTTGAAATGACTGACATGTGATGGGTACTTGTTATATAGCAAAAATTTTAGATCTGTAATGAATTGAGCTAACTGATTTTTACTGTTTGTTGATGATCATTCATGTTTCAAGTGTATAAATAGTTAATTAAATAGGTCAGAAGAAAACAAAATGAATACTTGCTATTATTTCTTATGAACTAATTGAAATTTATTTGAATAAAAGTATTCAAATGCTAGACACCCATTAAAACTAATTCATTAGTTGTATGAAAGAGTTGACAATCTAAATAGATTGAGACCACACATAACTTGTCGTTGAACTTAAATAATGATTAAAACAGCACTTCGGCTTTGTATTTAAATAGTTGATTAGTGATTTTTATTCAGTTAGCACAATACTAGTTATTTGTCTTCATCGTGATGATACAAAATGATAATCTGCCAAGTGGTTGATTTGTCATTGACCACTGTCAGAATTCTAAGTAACAGTTAACAACTTGAAGGCATTTATAATGACATTTTTATCTGTATATTATGATGTTTCTTTCATTACTTAAAATGCAAAAATTATAATTACATTCCTAATGTAATTACATTTTTTGCAAAAGTTCTGCAAATAAAACGTGTGGTAGAACTAATTTAATATCTTAAAATCTCAATTATTTATTGAATATATTTTAGCAATAATGGAATTTCATTCTGGTATATATATAATTCTAATTTACAGATTTTACCTTGACTATTTGTGTTTATATAATATAATATATATATAATTTTTTTTAAAAAAGGTTTTAAAAAGGTTTTGCAACATCAATCTTATGATGGAGAATTGCAGCTACAAGTTGTTAATATGAATAATTCACCTTATTGGCAACACGACAGGTGTCAGGCAGGGTAAGAAAATATTTTTGAATGTCTTATTTATTTGTAAAAGATTTTGATCAATTTACTTTTGTTTGCTTATAATAGCAATCAAGTCAATATTTCAGAATTTTAAATGTTTTTTTATATGATTATAACACTTAAGTGTTGTGGCGTTACAGGAGTGGAGTCTTGGAGTATGAACTCTTCCGACTTTAGAAAATGAACTCGTCCACTAGTACTTTCAGTAGTTTATAACTACCATCTTCAGGCAGTCTATCGAATACAACAGATTACGATTTTCGAACACTAATCCGATGGTTTCACAAATTTCGGATTTTCAAAATTATAGAACAATATTTCTGACGGATTAACTGATTTTTCGTTTTCGAATGTAATTAAAAAATCTTTTTGTGCATCATAGCGTGTGGAAGGAAAACAGTTTTAATTAAGCATGTTTTAGGAAGAATAAGGCCGTAAAAGAGCCCATAACATGCATAAAGTATAAGATATGTTAAAAAGACATCTGAGTAGCAAAGACTTCAACATCGTGGATTGAGCTGTTTAAAAGCTGTTACCCTATTTTTTGGTAATTCGAGAGTTGGAGAGTTGCACAGTTCAGTGGCAGAAATATAGAGACTCTCCCAAACAAATAGCTCTTTATGTTCGTTGCAGCATTTCAGTAATTTTGTTTTGTTCCAGAGCAGCTGGTAATTGTGGTCAAGCACTTTCTTTGCTAACTCTGTAACTGGCCTGCTGTTTTTGATGTCTTCTTGATGTTCAAGAATACGTGAACTTAACCTTCTAGCTGTGGCCCCTACATATGGGTTTGGTATTTGAACAGTTTCCAACTCAAACAATTTGACATTTATGGATGGAAATCCTTAAAAAATTATAATAAAAATAAAATCTGAAGATGTTGCTCAGAAGATATTTTGAAAAAGAAAAGTCCTTGTTTAACTAAAATTAATATTAATGCATCAGTACTTTTAATTGTGATTGTTAGTTAATTATTGATTGTTTTAATAAACATATTTCTTGTAGTAATGAAAAATAATAGTATACTTTTGTTAACTTCTGGAAAATAACCCTATATTTTTCATTAGTCGTTTGTTTCGTATAGCACGGATTCACATAATATGACACTTTTTGGGCTGCAATTTGAAAAAATTGTAGACTATAAATTCCCACTGTCATTCATCTGTTCGTCATTCCTTAATCTCAAGAATGGAGTTAGATAGATGAAAGATGAAACCAGATATGGAAACCTTAGCAGCACAAAGCCCTAATTAACTACATATGAACTTCTGATACAAACCGGAAGTCATATTATGTCAGTTCAAAAATTTTCCTCTGAAACATGTAGATGACCAGTACAACTTCTATATTTACAGCTCTATTTAAAATATGATGTATGTGGGCAAGCCACTACTATTTTGAGGTGGAGAGTATATATTTAAATTAAATAACTAAAAATATGATTAAAAATTGCGACCAGCATTGTGATGATGTCACAATAAATAATGCTTGTTTGGAACATATCTACTGTGTTATACTGTAATTAGGTTTGATATGCTTAAAATTGGAATAAAAAAAAATCAGATAAAAAATTTCTTATTCATTTGCATGGCCTCAGAGTTCTTGACATACACCACTTATGCAAAAAAAAAATTATGCAACTGTGATTCATATTATTGCAATAATTAGATATTTCAAAACAAAAGATATTGCTTTGTTTTGACTAATCATTTAGCAATGTATAAAGAAAGTTTATACAACATTTGGGACTTTTTCCATGAGAGTATGATGCCCTAGTTTACTGATAAAGGAGTTTAACCAACTTAAAAACTAATCAGTTTTTATGTGCAGTGGTACCTCAGTACTTGAACCATTCTAAACTCAAACAATTCGGTATCTGAACACAATTTTGAGGGAAAAACTAGCTCAGTACTTGACTTGAACAATCATGACCCACTAGAACAAAGTTTTGGTTAATAACAAATATTTTTACTTTAATTTTGTCATTGATAAAAATGAGTAAATAAAAATAAAATAAAACCTTATAGCTGCCTATCATTGTCAGACAAAAATATACTCAATTCAATTTGTTTTTATCACTTAATGTGTGAAATCATAATGTTCACAATCATAATGTTTTGCAACCATTCCAAATTGATGAAGTGTTTCAAAAATACATGTCAGTGACACATTAAGAGTTGTTGCAAGTTCATGTGTTATTTGTTGATTTTTAAACAATTTTTTCCTGCAATATTTCTTTATTGACAGCTTTTGGGCACCTTTCCATTATATATCTTTTAGTTCAAAATTTCCCAAACAGAACTTTTAAAACCACATTTGACATATTCTAAATTTAGGAACATCTTCCCCATACACATTATGAAGATTTTTTACTGTTTGTATAGCATTAGATGCTTAGATATACATTTTATCTGCAGATATTTTGACTGTACTGAAACAAAATGTGAAATAAAAAGTTTTAAAATAAGCTTCTAAATAAAGAATACAATCTCACATTAGCAATAATGTGTTAAACTTCACAACTGTTTTAATTAAATTAGTTTAAATAAATTTATATTGTGTAATGACAGCTGTTAAAAATACCCAAAAAACTTTTTGTTTAATCCAATAAAATTAATAGGCAAATTCTGCTACTCTGTATTGCATATGGGTATTTTTTACTTTTTCTATGATGTATGCATGCTAGACTTGTAAACTTGTTAAATTCTACCGTGTTTCCCCGAAAATAAGACATCCGCAGAAAATAAGACCTAGCACAAATTTTGCTGAATTGCGAAATATAAGACCTCCACCTGAAAGTAAGACCTAGCGAAGTTTTTTTTAGTCCTAACGGTCATCGACAGATGGTTGAAAGTGGCCGTTGGCTTTTTGAAAGTACAGCCACTGATTGGTCTGCAGACAGTTACGCCACACGGCATGATTTGCATAAGACTATGGCTTGGGAATCACAGATTTGCATAACGTTACGGCTGGTGATGGCTAATTGGTCGGCCGGGAATCACGCCACATGACATTTGCATAGTGCTACGGTTCAGTAAGCACTAATTGGTCATCGAGTCCGATGTTGACGCTATAAAAAGGCGACAGTTCGACACACTGGATTTACGTCACTCTCGTCTAAGTTTGACTTGGGAAATTTTTTGTTCAATAATAAATGTGAATTCTTCCTGGAAAAAATAAGACATTCCCTGAAAATAAGACCTAGTGCATTTTTCAGAGCAAAAATTAATATAAGACACTGTCTTATTTTTGGGGAAACACGGTAGTTAAAATGCTTTTATAAGTATCAATATATTCTTGGGAGTCTGGAATGGATTAATCTAATTTACATTATTTCTTAGGGAAAGATTTGTTCAATACTCAGACTTCTAGAACAAATTAAGTTCAAATATTTTGAAGTACCACTGTATTTTAACTCTCATAATTTAGTTTTTATTATTTGATTAAAATAAAACTAAATTTTTAAATCTTTTTTTATTATTAAATAAAGTTGTAATTTTATTATAAAATATTTTCATAAATAAAATTTAATATTCTGTATCCAGATATTTAAAATTTTTGGTATCTTGTGATATATGCAGTATATAAAGATGGTTTTATTATTTTATAGATTTATTTAAATTAAAGTAATAAATAAATTACATTTTATATACAGTATTGTTAACAATTATTAATATATATCAGTTAATTTTGTTGTTTTTCTGTTTAGTTGTTCTGTTTGTGTTAAAGTTAAAGAAAAATTAAAAAATTCCAAATCACAATTTTTTGATGAAGAGAAACTTCGTAAGTGAATTATTTATAACATTAATTATTTTTAAAATAAATAATTAAGAAAACTTTAATATTAATTTTGTTTGCAATTTACATAATAAAATACTTTTGAAAAATTTAATAATTTAAGAACTAATGATTTACTTCCTTTACTCTTATTTTTTTGTTTAATCATTGGAATTTAATTGCTTTGTTGTTTTAACTGGGAATTGATATGGACTTTCTGTAATAAAGAATATAATGATGTTTATGCATTTCACATTGGTCCAAAGCATTCTTATTCCTTTCAATAATAAAATATTTTATTTTTTGTCTACACTCATCATAGAATTTTGTTTACACCAGTGGTTCCCAAACTTATTATTCTCACGGACACGTTCTCATAGCAAAAACCTGACCATGAACCCCAAGTGAAATAACAACTGCATTATAGCAAAATTTCAAATTTAACTTTGATGTCTTGGATGGTGAACGGTGACATAAAAAAAAAATATACTAAATGGAGAAGACATTGAGGTAGGCGTTACATGTAATGCCGACCTCAATGTCTTTTCCATTTAGTATACAATATTTGGTGTGAAAATCATCATATTGATCACAGAAATAAAATATAAATAAAACATTTTTATATTTAAAGTAGTATTTATTCAAATTATAAATTTTGATTTTTAAAATACTAAAGCACATTATTTTTTAATGAAATGAGTGAATCTGATGGGATGATATGAGATTACTGTATTTATGGTCGGCTCGATGTTTGTGAGTAACACTCGTAAGTCTCCACAAGTATTAATTTGCAGTCGATTTCTTTTTTCATGATGAGATTCATAACTGCACTAAATCCATGTTCTACTAAATAGGAAGATGGGAAAGCAATCAACAGCTTGTGTACAGTGGTCCATAATGCAGGATATAAAATTAGTATCTGTTTTTGTAACCAGAATTTATGGTATCCTTGTTCAAACATTGGTTTCAGCTCCTCATTTGTGGATAATTCAATAAGTTCCTTCTGTATTAGTATGGCTTCATCTGAGTTTGTGGGTCTACTTGCAAAAGGGTCCAACACCCAATTGGGAATGCCCAAGTGAAGAATATTTTCAAATCTTTCGCTGGGGTCAGAATGAAGAGCCGTTAAGTATTGACAATAAACAAGCAAATCATCATCTCGTTTTTGCAATTTTGAAAAATTTGGAAACAGAGCATTTTCCTCCCCCCAAGTTTTGTTTGTATAAAAAAAGTTTTGCAACAAATGCAGATATTATGATTTGATAAATGCAGATATTATACTTTTAGTTTTGAGTAAATTTAATTGATCACCTTGTAACTTCAAATTACTTTTGTTAAATTTGGCAAATAAGTCAGTCATATATGCTATGTCATTTTTTTGAATTAATTAAATTGAGCTGCAAATCGTTGTCTTTGTTGTCCAGGAATTCCAACACTGAATCAAAGAGTGCATTAAATCGATCCAAACATGCACTTTTAGATAACCAACGAACTTCAGTGTTAAGTAGTAAACGATTATAATCTTCATCATTTTCTAAGCAAAGTTGAGCAAATAATCTCTTAAATGAGAGATTATTTGAGGCATTTAAGGCATTCTTTTTGATTTTATTAACTGCCTGAATGACCTAATCTAGTGAGCCATGCAAGCATTCGCTAAGGTTTTTGGGGCTAAATGGTGTCTGTGGATGACACAATGTACAGATAATATATTCAGTTTAGCTTGTTTCAAGTATGCCAGAAAGCCTCAGTGTCATCCTACCATTACCGGAGCACCATTAGCAGTAATGGAGAGGATATTACTCAAGGGTATATCTTTTGTATTGAAAAATGTTTTTTAATTCATTAAATATTGTTTCACCTTTTGTATCAGTTTCCAAACATTTGGCAAATAACAATTCTTGGGAAATATTCTCATCTTTTACAAATCTCACTTTGCAATGCTTGTTATTACTTGTATTTTGTATTTTATGTACCTATATACTTATATTTTACTCAGAATGTAAAAATGGCTACCAATTTATTTATTGCTATTTATTTTTAACTATCTTAATAATGAAAATTGGTCACAATAATTTTACTTTATATTAAACTTTTCACAGACCCCCTGACATTGTCCACGCATCCCCAAATTAAGTTTAATTTGCCACAGACCCCAAAGTGGTACCAAGGACCCCTAGTGGTCCATAGGAACCACTTTGGGAACTACTGGTTTACACCGTCAGATTTCTGTTCATTCCCCAACTTGAAGAACACCTTAAAAGACTTCAACTTTGGTCTAATGAAAATGTGCAAGAATCAAAGATTTGGTTACATTTGCAGCATTCATTTTTCTATTAGCAAGGCTTGATTTTCAATCTACTACTTCAAGAAGTGACTCAAATCAAACAAGGCACACTTTTGAAACATAATCTGTTTCTTGTTTACATTATTACAATGTAAACATTAATTTAAAATACTAGGCTAGTACCACAAGTAATGATTATTAAATTAATCTGGCAACCATTTGGCTTTAATACCAATTTTTTACATGAAAGTCTAGGTCAGCACAGTAAACATTTAACTTCTGCTTCTTTTTTTAAAACTTTTTTGTATAATTTTTCAATGAAATTTCCATCTTCATCAACATATCTTTTCCATTATTTTGACAATTCAAAGATACTCTCTGAATAGCTACTCTGTTCTGGCATGTAAGTAGCAGTGTACAGTTTCTGGAGTGCTCACTCAAGCAATTCTTGACAAACCAAACAAGTGTTAGTCCAGGAGTGTTGGATCAGGGTAGTGAGGAAGAATTTTAAATTCATTTGTCCTTCATCCATTGGATGCTGCTGGAACATGCAATGTGTGACTGCATGCTATCATGCAGAAGAATGGTTTTCCTATCTAGTCTCTTTGTCACATAGTGCTCAATAGTTTTTCAGATTATTCTAGTATCAATCAGCATTGATCTTTTCTTCATATATTTAGAAATTTGCCATTAGGCATTCCTTGAAAATGAAGCTTATGTCTTTAGGAATGTCTTCTTAGCAAACCTGATTATGCCATTTTATGTTTTGTTTTCTGGTTTCAGGATCATAATGGCTAAACTAGGACTCATCTTCTGTCACAATACTCAGAAAGTAAATTTTTCATCTTCAGTGTCATAACACTTAAGCAATTGTTTAAGCTTTAATATAACTATCAGGGTTACAGATGTTTATATTCAAAAGTTTGTTGAAAGTAGGAGATATACTGTAAAATGTAATTTAATATATTACCATGCATTTCTCAATAATCTGAAGGCATTCATTCATTATTATTATTATATTATTAATTTTTTTTTTAAGGACTGTGCTAAAAGTAGAGAACCTTATTTTTTTTTATTTGCATTTTTTAAAAAAATGAACAAAAGACAGATCTTTGTCATTTTAAAAACAAACTCATTCTAAATTAACAATTTAGTATATAATAATAATCATGTTGTTAAATTTAATTATATTCTTGTTAAATGAATTTTAAATTTTATTTAGGATGGTTGACAGTCAAAGGGAAATTCATGTGTGTAAATGTTGCTACTATGTCTTGTAAATGTGGAATGTCAAGAGAAGGAATCTCACCTTGTGCTCACAGAGGAGATGGATGTGTAGATGTTGTTGTTGTATCACGTTGCTCACGTTTTAATTATATACGTTATCTTTTTCGCACTTCCTTTCACAATCAAAGCCCTGTAAGTATTTATCATTAATATTTGAACTTTTTAATATAATATAAATATATTTGGGATGCTGGAAGCCTTATGTTAAAGATGTAAAGAATAGTGTATTGCATCACTTCATGATGAACTGATATTTTTTGTAATTTTATTTTATATATATAAAATAAAGTTTTAATCTTCTAGTAGTATTTCTTCCTTATTTAATATTTGATCTATATTTACTTCTAAAATTTTTTATTAATAATTTTCTTTTTTAGTTTGATCTCAATTTTGTGCAACTTTATCGTGTACGTGAATTTCGTTTTAGTCCTTATGTCTCAGAAGGTGATAGGACACCTGCTGCAACTTGTACAGGAGTACAAGACAGTCAGCGTCGTCTGGTAACTAGTATGTGGAACTGTGATGGAGAAGTTATAACAGAGCCAATGATTCATGTTAGGTAATTTATAAAATTAAAACGTTAAAGTTACCATTAACATAATATCAATTATTCTGAAAAATTATTATATTAGATTTATCTTGTGATCTTTTGTGATTCCCCTCATGGTCAGCACAGATTGGGAACATTGTTTCTTGTTTCTTACCCAAGTTGACCTACCCATAAGAGACAACATTGACAGGTCACATAGATTCTTGAGTTGTTGTTTCACAATTTAATTTTATAAATTAACAGAAAAATAATATATTTAAAAAAATAATTTTGTGATTATATGATTTTATCTACTGTAAATTCTTTAAATCTAGATGAGAGACAATTTCTTGAAGGAGCATAAACTGGTAATATTCATACCGGTAATGAATAATACTTAATATTTTATTAAGTATTATTCATTACTGGTATGAATATTCATTAAATAACTTAAAAATTTTTAGTTTTTTCAAAGTAACATAATCTCTCATCAGTTTATAATTGGTCATAAATTCTATTATTTCAAAATAATCTAAGTTATTACATGTTATTATAGAATACATAACTACCTAAAAGGAATTAAAATAAAATGGCAATGAGTTGTTAGAAGTCAAGGGTGTAAAATAAAAATTTGTTTAAATTTTATATTATAGGTGGGTTTCTGAGAAAACCCATATGAACTGTAAAAGACAGGTTGGGGCCATACTTGGCCCCCAACCAAGTATGAAAGATGTAGTCAAATGTGAGAATATGGGTGAAGGTAGAACCTTCTAATTGTTGGGTTGTGAGACCCGCTCATGATGTCACTGTATGGCTTTAAAACATAGGAGGGTCTTAAATGCAAGTGGGGAGGGAAGTCGCAGATAAGTTCCGATCGTAGGTGTGTCCGTATAAGTCAAATGACCAAACAGGTTAACAAATAACTAACAAAAGTTTAATGAATAAAATAAAGAAGTACATAAAAGAGTAACCTATCCATTATATCGATTCCTAACTACATACACCTCTAAACATGGAGAGTTTACAAAAGGTTCAAATTATAATACCTCTAGACTAGTGATTCATTTCTGTTGATGTAATCCAAATGATATGTGAAGATGTCTTTCTGATGTGGAGACGGAGGAAGGCTGGAGAGTAGTGAGACAGAATATCAATACCTGACCACTTCTATGCAATTAAATCTTATGGCTGTCCTCTTCTATGTCTCCTCTCCCTCTATGGCAGTCCTGGATTATCGTTGGCTGCTACTCTTATTCTCAGTGACTGCCCTAAGAATACGATTTCTCTGCCTTTTATCCTAAATTCCTCTCCAACCAGGTTTTAGTATTATTCTTACCTTTGATGGGATACATTTCTGATGCAAATGGACAAATGTTTGACAGAGATGTGAGATAACATCTCTCCCAAAGGAAGTTTTATTTCTCTTTCCCACAAAAAGCAACAAAAATGAGTCATATTTGACATCAAAATGTTACTTTAATTTGTTGATGAATGGAATAATATTTTAATTGATTAAAATAAAATTGTTCTTTACTCCTGAATTCTAACACAAAGAATACATTTTCTTTTTTTATTTCTGAATAACATTGGATGTAAATCAATGTGAAATTTGCAACTGCTTTTATGAAAAAATGTAATCAGAATTGGGGATAAACACTGTGGCTCCGAATATTAAAAATCTCTTTTAGATATTTGTTGTACAGTGATGTTTAATATTTTGATTTTATACACAGTGAGGTCTCTCGATATCACTGTTAACCTTCTACCAATGTCTACTATGTCAAGCATGCATTAAATGATAGTATGAATTTCAATCCCCTCCAGCCCTTCTATTGGAATGAATGTTGTAATCTTAGTCTTAATGAAAATAGAGCAATATTGTCAATTACAAAGTTATAGCACACAAAAGAATATTTACTATAACCATTTAATGCATTCCAAAATATCAAGCAGGATCCTGGAACAAGCTGTCAAACATGACAGGTAAATAGTTTACTGCTAGGAATAGCAATGCATTACACAAATGCAATGTAGGCATGGTTGAATGTGCAAGTAAGTTTAGGTTTAGATTAGCAGGAATATGGTGATTAGGTTAATACTTTTTCATTTAAGTGTTTGATATTTTCTATTAAATCAGATTATTTGCAAGTACTGTACATAGGGTAATCACCAGACCTCTTGCTGATGTATACTATTACTTTTTGAAATAATTGGCCAGAGAGAGAGTTTTGTTACCACCCTGTGTTTAATTTTTGAAAGAAATTTGTTCAAAAATGTACTTAAAAAGTTTTCACACATAATATTTTCTATTGTTGCTTTTAAGACTTAAAATTCTCTTAAATAAGTTTTCATAAAAATCATTTGCAGTAAGGTTATTAATTCTGGTTGACTTTTTACAATAGTTTATTTGCTTTGAATTAGTTCAAATGTTGATGACAAAACATATCAGTGAATTATATTTACTCTTCAAACCTGTTAACCGGAGTGGTTCCTTTTCTATAGTCTCAAACATTTTTGAATCAGAATAGAAAAGGAACCACTCTGATTAACAGACTTGAAGAGTAGATATAGTTATATTCTGGTGTGTACAGAGATTGTTTCATATTAGTGAAAACAAGCTATGTGGGCCAGATAAATATGGCTAGGATGTTGTATTTGGCCTGCAGGCCATAGGTTGAAAATCCTTGCTTTACAAAGAGAAATATTTGAGTATCCCAGAATTGTATATAATCAGTTACTGAACGTCAAGAAAATTTGAATTAATAGTACATTTCATTAAAACCGTAATCTTAGAGAAATATAAGATACATATTCTGGCAATCTTTTGATAAAAAAGGAAAGATATTTACAAGCATTTTATCAATGACTTGAAGTGCCATCAAAAAGCAGGTCTAACATTAATTAACCATTGTGTTACTAAAATGTTCAAAAAAATATTTTTAGACTTTACTATTTCATTGTTTTCAGAAAATTTGTGTTTTCATCAATATTTTTTGTACTTATACTAAAAGAATCCTTGGAATATCAGCACTCCAAGCACTTGTGACCATAGTGCCTCGTCAGGACTGACACCACTGTGGCTGTAGGATAAACACAGAAACCTCAACTTTAGAATTTGCGCGAGCAGTCACATGCACGGACAATCAGATTTGGGATGGAGGAGGGTTGAGAGACAGATCAGAAGTGATTCACTCAGATACAAGATTAACAAGTAAAATAACCGATTTAATTCAACAAAAAAAAAAATAATAATAATACATAGCTCTATGCTATCGAATAGCGGTTGAGAGAGAGAGAGAGTTTACAGGAAACCATGAGTTGGTATAGATACCTGTGATGCACTGATAATTCTGTGGATTTTCGGATCGTTGAGTTTGGTTGTTTGTTTAGTCAGGACAGAATCCAAGAATGGTTGAGGGTTTCTTTTTCTTGGATGGTGGTCGAGGAAGCGATGGAGAACTGGAGGATTTAATCCGGGCAGTTCGACGGTGTTCTTAAAGAAACACAGGATAGGAAATTCCAAGTAGCCTGGACGATGACGATACACCTCTTTCTTTTTTTCAGGGCACATCGTTGATGCATTCGCGAACTTTTGATGACCCCTTGTCCTTGAGTCACTCCTTTTTATACCTCCAAATCACGTTATTTTTTCCTACCAATCAAGAATTTTTGATAGTAGTTCCCAGTGACACATCTGATGAGTTCCCTGGGAAAGGAAATGACTCCAGAGAGAGATTTGATCATTCTCCAGTAATAAAAATGGGAAAAATTTTCAAAAGACAAAAAACAAATTTTCTCTCAAAATTCATTAGGTCTGGTTCCTCATACACTAATAAAAAAAAATAGTAGTTGATTTGTACTCAGAGAACATATTCAAAAAATATAGTTGGTGATTTTGAATTTCATTTGAGCACAATGTAAACTTGAGATAAAAAGGAAAAACATAATCAAAGTTTTTTACAATAAAATTAATATAAAATTATTTTTCTGATCCACATATTTACAAGTAACCAAAACATTCAAATAAGTTTGATTTTTTCAATGACCTAAAAGATGGTTTCTTAAAGTAGTAACTATCTCCAAACAGATTATTTAAAAGAAGTAAGAATTCTTTTCCAAATTAAAACGAGCATCTACAAGATTAAACATACTATTTAAGTAGTATCTATTTGAGCTTTGGAAAATAGATTAAGAATGTAAAAGAAGACATAAAAAAAAAAAAAGGAAAATGTCTACAGATCTTGCAGAAGATAAATAAGGGTTTCTCAGCTGGAAAATAATAGACTACTGATTATTTTATTTTATGGCAAGTTCTTTAGATTATATATATAAAGTTTCTCTTTAAAGGAAAAGTTTTATATATAAATGATCTTAAAAAAAAAGAACTTCGATCTTGGATTCCTTAGATCTGTGATTATGAAGGTAGACAAAACTAATAAACCTGTTAATTAGTTATGTAATTTTAGATCAAATAAAAGAAAAGTAAATAAATTTAAAAATTCTATGTACTTCTTGAAAAAGTTTGATATTACATTACATGATTAAAAATTACATGATATAAAAGTCAAATATTGTTGTNTGGTATTTGAACAGTTTCCAACTCAAACAATTTGACATTTATGGATGGAAATCCTTAAAAAATTATAATAAAAATAAAATCTGAAGATGTTGCTCAGAAGATATTTTGAAAAAGAAAAGTCCTTGTTTAACTAAAATTAATATTAATGCATCAGTACTTTTAATTGTGATTGTTAGTTAATTATTGATTGTTTTAATAAACATATTTCTTGTAGTAATGAAAAATAATAGTATACTTTTGTTAACTTCTGGAAAATAACCCTATATTTTTCATTAGTCGTTTGTTTCGTATAGCACGGATTCACATAATATGACACTTTTTGGGCTGCAATTTGAAAAAATTGTAGACTATAAATTCCCACTGTCATTCATCTGTTCGTCATTCCTTAATCTCAAGAATGGAGTTAGATAGATGAAAGATGAAACCAGATATGGAAACCTTAGCAGCACAAAGCCCTAATTAACTACATATGAACTTCTGATACAAACCGGAAGTCATATTATGTCAGTTCAAAAATTTTCCTCTGAAACATGTAGATGACCAGTACAACTTCTATATTTACAGCTCTATTTAAAATATGATGTATGTGGGCAAGCCACTACTATTTTGAGGTGGAGAGTATATATTTAAATTAAATAACTAAAAATATGATTAAAAATTGCGACCAGCATTGTGATGATGTCACAATAAATAATGCTTGTTTGGAACATATCTACTGTGTTATACTGTAATTAGGTTTGATATGCTTAAAATTGGAATAAAAAAAAATCAGATAAAAAATTTCTTATTCATTTGCATGGCCTCAGAGTTCTTGACATACACCACTTATGCAAAAAAAAAATTATGCAACTGTGATTCATATTATTGCAATAATTAGATATTTCAAAACAAAAGATATTGCTTTGTTTTGACTAATCATTTAGCAATGTATAAAGAAAGTTTATACAACATTTGGGACTTTTTCCATGAGAGTATGATGCCCTAGTTTACTGATAAAGGAGTTTAACCAACTTAAAAACTAATCAGTTTTTATGTGCAGTGGTACCTCAGTACTTGAACCATTCTAAACTCAAACAATTCGGTATCTGAACACAATTTTGAGGGAAAAACTAGCTCAGTACTTGACTTGAACAATCATGACCCACTAGAACAAAGTTTTGGTTAATAACAAATATTTTTACTTTAATTTTGTCATTGATAAAAATGAGTAAATAAAAATAAAATAAAACCTTATAGCTGCCTATCATTGTCAGACAAAAATATACTCAATTCAATTTGTTTTTATCACTTAATGTGTGAAATCATAATGTTCACAATCATAATGTTTTGCAACCATTCCAAATTGATGAAGTGTTTCAAAAATACATGTCAGTGACACATTAAGAGTTGTTGCAAGTTCATGTGTTATTTGTTGATTTTTAAACAATTTTTTCCTGCAATATTTCTTTATTGACAGCTTTTGGGCACCTTTCCATTATATATCTTTTAGTTCAAAATTTCCCAAACAGAACTTTTAAAACCACATTTGACATATTCTAAATTTAGGAACATCTTCCCCATACACATTATGAAGATTTTTTACTGTTTGTATAGCATTAGATGCTTAGATATACATTTTATCTGCAGATATTTTGACTGTACTGAAACAAAATGTGAAATAAAAAGTTTTAAAATAAGCTTCTAAATAAAGAATACAATCTCACATTAGCAATAATGTGTTAAACTTCACAACTGTTTTAATTAAATTAGTTTAAATAAATTTATATTGTGTAATGACAGCTGTTAAAAATACCCAAAAAACTTTTTGTTTAATCCAATAAAATTAATAGGCAAATTCTGCTACTCTGTATTGCATATGGGTATTTTTTACTTTTTCTATGATGTATGCATGCTAGACTTGTAAACTTGTTAAATTCTACCGTGTTTCCCCGAAAATAAGACATCCGCAGAAAATAAGACCTAGCACAAATTTTGCTGAATTGCGAAATATAAGACCTCCACCTGAAAGTAAGACCTAGCGAAGTTTTTTTTAGTCCTAACGGTCATCGACAGATGGTTGAAAGTGGCCGTTGGCTTTTTGAAAGTACAGCCACTGATTGGTCAGCAGACAATTACGCCACACGGCATGATTTGCATAAGACTATGGCTTGGGAATCACAGATTTGCATAACGTTACGGCTGGTGATGGCTAATTGGTCGGCCGGGAATCACGCCACATGACATTTGCATAGTGCTACGGTTCAGTAAGCACTAATTGGTCATCGAGTCCGATGTTGACGCTATAAAAAGGCGACAGTTCGACACACTGGATTTACGTCACTCTCGTCTAAGTTTGACTTGGGAAATTTTTTGTTCAATAATAAATGTGAATTCTTCCTGGAAAAAATAAGACATTCCCTGAAAATAAGACCTAGTGCATTTTTCAGAGCAAAAATTAATATAAGACACTGTCTTATTTTTGGGGAAACACGGTAGTTAAAATGCTTTTATAAGTATCAATATATTCTTGGGAGTCTGGAATGGATTAATCTAATTTACATTATTTCTTAGGGAAAGATTTGTTCAATACTCAGACTTCTAGAACAAATTAAGTTCAAATATTTTGAAGTACCACTGTATTTTAACTCTCATAATTTAGTTTTTATTATTTGATTAAAATAAAACTAAATTTTTAAATCTTTTTTTATTATTAAATAAAGTTGTAATTTTATTATAAAATATTTTCATAAATAAAATTTAATATTCTGTATCCAGATATTTAAAATTTTTGGTATCTTGTGATATATGCAGTATATAAAGATGGTTTTATTATTTTATAGATTTATTTAAATTAAAGTAATAAATAAATTACATTTTATATACAGTATTGTTAACAATTATTAATATATATCAGTTAATTTTGTTGTTTTTCTGTTTAGTTGTTCTGTTTGTGTTAAAGTTAAAGAAAAATTAAAAAATTCCAAATCACAATTTTTTGATGAAGAGAAACTTCGTAAGTGAATTATTTATAACATTAATTATTTTTAAAATAAATAATTAAGAAAACTTTAATATTAATTTTGTTTGCAATTTACATAATAAAATACTTTTGAAAAATTTAATAATTTAAGAACTAATGATTTACTTCCTTTACTCTTATTTTTTTGTTTAATCATTGGAATTTAATTGCTTTGTTGTTTTAACTGGGAATTGATATGGACTTTCTGTAATAAAGAATATAATGATGTTTATGCATTTCACATTGGTCCAAAGCATTCTTATTCCTTTCAATAATAAAATATTTTATTTTTTGTCTACACTCATCATAGAATTTTGTTTACACCAGTGGTTCCCAAACTTATTATTCTCACGGACACGTTCTCATAGCAAAAACCTGACCATGAACCCCAAGTGAAATAACAACTGCATTATAGCAAAATTTCAAATTTAACTTTGATGTCTTGGATGGTGAACGGTGACATAAAAAAAAAATATACTAAATGGAGAAGACATTGAGGTAGGCGTTACATGTAATGCCGACCTCAATGTCTTTTCCATTTAGTATACAATATTTGGTGTGAAAATCATCATATTGATCACAGAAATAAAATATAAATAAAACATTTTTATATTTAAAGTAGTATTTATTCAAATTATAAATTTTGATTTTTAAAATACTAAAGCACATTATTTTTTAATGAAATGAGTGAATCTGATGGGATGATATGAGATTACTGTATTTATGGTCGGCTCGATGTTTGTGAGTAACACTCGTAAGTCTCCACAAGTATTAATTTGCAGTCGATTTCTTTTTTCATGATGAGATTCATAACTGCACTAAATCCATGTTCTACTAAATAGGAAGATGGGAAAGCAATCAACAGCTTGTGTACAGTGGTCCATAATGCAGGATATAAAATTAGTATCTGTTTTTGTAACCAGAATTTATGGTATCCTTGTTCAAACATTGGTTTCAGCTCCTCATTTGTGGATAATTCAATAAGTTCCTTCTGTATTAGTATGGCTTCATCTGAGTTTGTGGGTCTACTTGCAAAAGGGTCCAACACCCAATTGGGAATGCCCAAGTGAAGAATATTTTCAAATCTTTCGCTGGGGTCAGAATGAAGAGCCGTTAAGTATTGACAATAAACAAGCAAATCATCATCTCGTTTTTGCAATTTTGAAAAATTTGGAAACAGAGCATTTTCCTCCCCCCAAGTTTTGTTTGTATAAAAAAAGTTTTGCAACAAATGCAGATATTATGATTTGATAAATGCAGATATTATACTTTTAGTTTTGAGTAAATTTAATTGATCACCTTGTAACTTCAAATTACTTTTGTTAAATTTGGCAAATAAGTCAGTCATATATGCTATGTCATTTTTTTGAATTAATTAAATTGAGCTGCAAATCGTTGTCTTTGTTGTCCAGGAATTCCAACACTGAATCAAAGAGTGCATTAAATCGATCCAAACATGCACTTTTAGATAACCAACGAACTTCAGTGTTAAGTAGTAAACGATTATAATCTTCATCATTTTCTAAGCAAAGTTGAGCAAATAATCTCTTAAATGAGAGATTATTTGAGGCATTTAAGGCATTCTTTTTGATTTTATTAACTGCCTGAATGACCTAATCTAGTGAGCCATGCAAGCATTCGCTAAGGTTTTTGGGGCTAAATGGTGTCTGTGGATGACACAATGTACAGATAATATATTCAGTTTAGCTTGTTTCAAGTATGCCAGAAAGCCTCAGTGTCATCCTACCATTACCGGAGCACCATTAGCAGTAATGGAGAGGATATTACTCAAGGGTATATCTTTTGTATTGAAAAATGTTTTTTAATTCATTAAATATTGTTTCACCTTTTGTATCAGTTTCCAAACATTTGGCAAATAACAATTCTTGGGAAATATTCTCATCTTTTACAAATCTCACTTTGCAATGCTTGTTATTACTTGTATTTTGTATTTTATGTACCTATATACTTATATTTTACTCAGAATGTAAAAATGGCTACCAATTTATTTATTGCTATTTATTTTTAACTATCTTAATAATGAAAATTGGTCACAATAATTTTACTTTATATTAAACTTTTCACAGACCCCCTGACATTGTCCACGCATCCCCAAATTAAGTTTAATTTGCCACAGACCCCAAAGTGGTACCAAGGACCCCTAGTGGTCCATAGGAACCACTTTGGGAACTACTGGTTTACACCGTCAGATTTCTGTTCATTCCCCAACTTGAAGAACACCTTAAAAGACTTCAACTTTGGTCTAATGAAAATGTGCAAGAATCAAAGATTTGGTTACATTTGCAGCATTCATTTTTCTATTAGCAAGGCTTGATTTTCAATCTACTACTTCAAGAAGTGACTCAAATCAAACAAGGCACACTTTTGAAACATAATCTGTTTCTTGTTTACATTATTACAATGTAAACATTAATTTAAAATACTAGGCTAGTACCACAAGTAATGATTATTAAATTAATCTGGCAACCATTTGGCTTTAATACCAATTTTTTACATGAAAGTCTAGGTCAGCACAGTAAACATTTAACTTCTGCTTCTTTTTTTAAAACTTTTTTGTATAATTTTTCAATGAAATTTCCATCTTCATCAACATATCTTTTCCATTATTTTGACAATTCAAAGATACTCTCTGAATAGCTACTCTGTTCTGGCATGTAAGTAGCAGTGTACAGTTTCTGGAGTGCTCACTCAAGCAATTCTTGACAAACCAAACAAGTGTTAGTCCAGGAGTGTTGGATCAGGGTAGTGAGGAAGAATTTTAAATTCATTTGTCCTTCATCCATTGGATGCTGCTGGAACATGCAATGTGTGACTGCATGCTATCATGCAGAAGAATGGTTTTCCTATCTAGTCTCTTTGTCACATAGTGCTCAATAGTTTTTCAGATTATTCTAGTATCAATCAGCATTGATCTTTTCTTCATATATTTAGAAATTTGCCATTAGGCATTCCTTGAAAATGAAGCTTATGTCTTTAGGAATGTCTTCTTAGCAAACCTGATTATGCCATTTTATGTTTTGTTTTCTGGTTTCAGGATCATAATGGCTAAACTAGGACTCATCTTCTGTCACAATACTCAGAAAGTAAATTTTTCATCTTCAGTGTCATAACACTTAAGCAATTGTTTAAGCTTTAATATAACTATCAGGGTTACAGATGTTTATATTCAAAAGTTTGTTGAAAGTAGGAGATATACTGTAAAATGTAATTTAATATATTACCATGCATTTCTCAATAATCTGAAGGCATTCATTCATTATTATTATTATATTATTAATTTTTTTTTTAAGGACTGTGCTAAAAGTAGAGAACCTTATTTTTTTTTATTTGCATTTTTTAAAAAAATGAACAAAAGACAGATCTTTGTCATTTTAAAAACAAACTCATTCTAAATTAACAATTTAGTATATAATAATAATCATGTTGTTAAATTTAATTATATTCTTGTTAAATGAATTTTAAATTTTATTTAGGATGGTTGACAGTCAAAGGGAAATTCATGTGTGTAAATGTTGCTACTATGTCTTGTAAATGTGGAATGTCAAGAGAAGGAATCTCACCTTGTGCTCACAGAGGAGATGGATGTGTAGATGTTGTTGTTGTATCACGTTGCTCACGTTTTAATTATATACGTTATCTTTTTCGCACTTCCTTTCACAATCAAAGCCCTGTAAGTATTTATCATTAATATTTGAACTTTTTAATATAATATAAATATATTTGGGATGCTGGAAGCCTTATGTTAAAGATGTAAAGAATAGTGTATTGCATCACTTCATGATGAACTGATATTTTTTGTAATTTTATTTTATATATATAAAATAAAGTTTTAATCTTCTAGTAGTATTTCTTCCTTATTTAATATTTGATCTATATTTACTTCTAAAATTTTTTATTAATAATTTTCTTTTTTAGTTTGATCTCAATTTTGTGCAACTTTATCGTGTACGTGAATTTCGTTTTAGTCCTTATGTCTCAGAAGGTGATAGGACACCTGCTGCAACTTGTACAGGAGTACAAGACAGTCAGCGTCGTCTGGTAACTAGTATGTGGAACTGTGATGGAGAAGTTATAACAGAGCCAATGATTCATGTTAGGTAATTTATAAAATTAAAACGTTAAAGTTACCATTAACATAATATCAATTATTCTGAAAAATTATTATATTAGATTTATCTTGTGATCTTTTGTGATTCCCCTCATGGTCAGCACAGATTGGGAACATTGTTTCTTGTTTCTTACCCAAGTTGACCTACCCATAAGAGACAACATTGACAGGTCACATAGATTCTTGAGTTGTTGTTTCACAATTTAATTTTATAAATTAACAGAAAAATAATATATTTAAAAAAATAATTTTGTGATTATATGATTTTATCTACTGTAAATTCTTTAAATCTAGATGAGAGACAATTTCTTGAAGGAGCATAAACTGGTAATATTCATACCGGTAATGAATAATACTTAATATTTTATTAAGTATTATTCATTACTGGTATGAATATTCATTAAATAACTTAAAAATTTTTAGTTTTTTCAAAGTAACATAATCTCTCATCAGTTTATAATTGGTCATAAATTCTATTATTTCAAAATAATCTAAGTTATTACATGTTATTATAGAATACATAACTACCTAAAAGGAATTAAAATAAAATGGCAATGAGTTGTTAGAAGTCAAGGGTGTAAAATAAAAATTTGTTTAAATTTTATATTATAGGTGGGTTTCTGAGAAAACCCATATGAACTGTAAAAGACAGGTTGGGGCCATACTTGGCCCCCAACCAAGTATGAAAGATGTAGTCAAATGTGAGAATATGGGTGAAGGTAGAACCTTCTAATTGTTGGGTTGTGAGACCCGCTCATGATGTCACTGTATGGCTTTAAAACATAGGAGGGTCTTAAATGCAAGTGGGGAGGGAAGTCGCAGATAAGTTCCGATCGTAGGTGTGTCCGTATAAGTCAAATGACCAAACAGGTTAACAAATAACTAACAAAAGTTTAATGAATAAAATAAAGAAGTACATAAAAGAGTAACCTATCCATTATATCGATTCCTAACTACATACACCTCTAAACATGGAGAGTTTACAAAAGGTTCAAATTATAATACCTCTAGACTAGTGATTCATTTCTGTTGATGTAATCCAAATGATATGTGAAGATGTCTTTCTGATGTGGAGACGGAGGAAGGCTGGAGAGTAGTGAGACAGAATATCAATACCTGACCACTTCTATGCAATTAAATCTTATGGCTGTCCTCTTCTATGTCTCCTCTCCCTCTATGGCAGTCCTGGATTATCGTTGGCTGCTACTCTTATTCTCAGTGACTGCCCTAAGAATACGATTTCTCTGCCTTTTATCCTAAATTCCTCTCCAACCAGGTTTTAGTATTATTCTTACCTTTGATGGGATACATTTCTGATGCAAATGGACAAATGTTTGACAGAGATGTGAGATAACATCTCTCCCAAAGGAAGTTTTATTTCTCTTTCCCACAAAAAGCAACAAAAATGAGTCATATTTGACATCAAAATGTTACTTTAATTTGTTGATGAATGGAATAATATTTTAATTGATTAAAATAAAATTGTTCTTTACTCCTGAATTCTAACACAAAGAATACATTTTCTTTTTTTATTTCTGAATAACATTGGATGTAAATCAATGTGAAATTTGCAACTGCTTTTATGAAAAAATGTAATCAGAATTGGGGATAAACACTGTGGCTCCGAATATTAAAAATCTCTTTTAGATATTTGTTGTACAGTGATGTTTAATATTTTGATTTTATACACAGTGAGGTCTCTCGATATCACTGTTAACCTTCTACCAATGTCTACTATGTCAAGCATGCATTAAATGATAGTATGAATTTCAATCCCCTCCAGCCCTTCTATTGGAATGAATGTTGTAATCTTAGTCTTAATGAAAATAGAGCAATATTGTCAATTACAAAGTTATAGCACACAAAAGAATATTTACTATAACCATTTAATGCATTCCAAAATATCAAGCAGGATCCTGGAACAAGCTGTCAAACATGACAGGTAAATAGTTTACTGCTAGGAATAGCAATGCATTACACAAATGCAATGTAGGCATGGTTGAATGTGCAAGTAAGTTTAGGTTTAGATTAGCAGGAATATGGTGATTAGGTTAATACTTTTTCATTTAAGTGTTTGATATTTTCTATTAAATCAGATTATTTGCAAGTACTGTACATAGGGTAATCACCAGACCTCTTGCTGATGTATACTATTACTTTTTGAAATAATTGGCCAGAGAGAGAGTTTTGTTACCACCCTGTGTTTAATTTTTGAAAGAAATTTGTTCAAAAATGTACTTAAAAAGTTTTCACACATAATATTTTCTATTGTTGCTTTTAAGACTTAAAATTCTCTTAAATAAGTTTTCATAAAAATCATTTGCAGTAAGGTTATTAATTCTGGTTGACTTTTTACAATAGTTTATTTGCTTTGAATTAGTTCAAATGTTGATGACAAAACATATCAGTGAATTATATTTACTCTTCAAACCTGTTAACCGGAGTGGTTCCTTTTCTATAGTTTCAAACATTTTTGAATCAGAATAGAAAAGGAACCACTCTGATTAACAGACTTGAAGAGTAGATATAGTTATATTCTGGTGTGTACAGAGATTGTTTCATATTAGTGAAAACAAGCTATGTGGGCCAGATAAATATGGCTAGGATGTTGTATTTGGCCTGCAGGCCATAGGTTGAAAATCCTTGCTTTACAAAGAGAAATATTTGAGTATCCCAGAATTGTATATAATCAGTTACTGAACGTCAAGAAAATTTGAATTAATAGTACATTTCATTAAAACCGTAATCTTAGAGAAATATAAGATACATATTCTGGCAATCTTTTGATAAAAAAGGAAAGATATTTACAAGCATTTTATCAATGACTTGAAGTGCCATCAAAAAGCAGGTCTAACATTAATTAACCATTGTGTTACTAAAATGTTCAAAAAAATATTTTTAGACTTTACTATTTCATTGTTTTCAGAAAATTTGTGTTTTCATCAATATTTTTTGTACTTATACTAAAAGAATCCTTGGAATATCAGCACTCCAAGCACTTGTGACCATAGTGCCTCGTCAGGACTGACACCACTGTGGCTGTAGGATAAACACAGAAACCTCAACTTTAGAATTTGCGCGAGCAGTCACATGCACGGACAATCAGATTTGGGATGGAGGAGGGTTGAGAGACAGATCAGAAGTGATTCACTCAGATACAAGATTAACAAGTAAAATAACCGATTTAATTCAACAAAAAAAAAAATAATAATAATACATAGCTCTATGCTATCGAATAGCGGTTGAGAGAGAGAGAGAGTTTACAGGAAACCATGAGTTGGTATAGATACCTGTGATGCACTGATAATTCTGTGGATTTTCGGATCGTTGAGTTTGGTTGTTTGTTTAGTCAGGACAGAATCCAAGAATGGTTGAGGGTTTCTTTTTCTTGGATGGTGGTCGAGGAAGCGATGGAGAACTGGAGGATTTAATCCGGGCAGTTCGACGGTGTTCTTAAAGAAACACAGGATAGGAAATTCCAAGTAGCCTGGACGATGACGATACACCTCTTTCTTTTTTTCAGGGCACATCGTTGATGCATTCGCGAACTTTTGATGACCCCTTGTCCTTGAGTCACTCCTTTTTATACCTCCAAATCACGTTATTTTTTCCTACCAATCAAGAATTTTTGATAGTAGTTCCCAGTGACACATCTGATGAGTTCCCTGGGAAAGGAAATGACTCCAGAGAGAGATTTGATCATTCTCCAGTAATAAAAATGGGAAAAATTTTCAAAAGACAAAAAACAAATTTTCTCTCAAAATTCATTAGGTCTGGTTCCTCATACACTAATAAAAAAAAATAGTAGTTGATTTGTACTCAGAGAACATATTCAAAAAATATAGTTGGTGATTTTGAATTTCATTTGAGCACAATGTAAACTTGAGATAAAAAGGAAAAACATAATCAAAGTTTTTTACAATAAAATTAATATAAAATTATTTTTCTGATCCACATATTTACAAGTAACCAAAACATTCAAATAAGTTTGATTTTTTCAATGACCTAAAAGATGGTTTCTTAAAGTAGTAACTATCTCCAAACAGATTATTTAAAAGAAGTAAGAATTCTTTTCCAAATTAAAACGAGCATCTACAAGATTAAACATACTATTTAAGTAGTATCTATTTGAGCTTTGGAAAATAGATTAAGAATGTAAAAGAAGACATAAAAAAAAAAAAAGGAAAATGTCTACAGATCTTGCAGAAGATAAATAAGGGTTTCTCAGCTGGAAAATAATAGACTACTGATTATTTTATTTTATGGCAAGTTCTTTAGATTATATATATAAAGTTTCTCTTTAAAGGAAAAGTTTTATATATAAATGATCTTAAAAAAAAAGAACTTCGATCTTGGATTCCTTAGATCTGTGATTATGAAGGTAGACAAAACTAATAAACCTGTTAATTAGTTATGTAATTTTAGATCAAATAAAAGAAAAGTAAATAAATTTAAAAATTCTATGTACTTCTTGAAAAAGTTTGATATTACATTACATGATTAAAAATTACATGATATAAAAGTCAAATATTGTTGTTAAATAATTTAATGTAAAATTCAGTTCAAATGCATTTGAAAATGGAATACTCCTAAGTTTTCATGCAAATAAATTTTAAAATTTCAACTTCTAAGAATTGTTAGTGTGAATAATTTTTAAATTAAGCTAAAAAGCTTAATTTAAAAATTATTCACACTAACAATTCTAAATTAAAAGCAAGCATCATTAAGAATGATATTTATAACATGTATTATGATAAATTTATATTTGTAGAACTTATTTTAATTTTATTAAATTTATAAAATTAATGATGTATTATATTATATTATAGGGTTCATTGCCAATTAATCAGTCTGTTTTCTCGAGGAATTGAAGACAGAGAAATTGAAAATTCTTGCACACATTGTATAGGATTTTGTAAGAAGAAACAAGGTTGATTTCAATAACTTAGAAATAGCACATTTCTTCATTGGCCAAAAAGTGCCACATACCATTATGCACCAACAGTCCTTTATATCAGAAAAACAAAGTGAGATGTTTAAGTTTTGTTTCATTTTATTACTTCCATTATTTTTAATCATTCCAAAAATCTTTGCATGATCATAATCATATAAATAAAAGAGATTTAAGTATTATGTAACATTTTAGTAAAATGTCTATTCTGAGAATGGAAATTCTTGAATAGAGAATTTGTATTTTAAAATGTTAATATTGGAAATGAGCTGGATCTCATAAAAAGAATTATGTACTTTGATTACATAATATATGGTATTAATTTATGGTTCAATAAGAAATGAAAGCATTTTTTCAAGATAAAGTGAACAAAACTCTTTCTAGAAATTGTGTATGATAGATCTGAAAGTTTCTTTGACAAATATGTTCAAATTCATAAAATTAATATATGAAATATTTAAACTTATTTCAATTTTTATGAAATATTTGTATATGTACTATTATTATATATCAAAATAATGGAAGAAAGTTGTTTATTTATTTGACAGCTTTGTGTTAAAAGATTTTTATAAGAACAATGATGCATTTTATTGTATAAATCATTATTTTTATATCTAAATATGATACAAAAAATAGTGTATTATTAAAACAATTTTATTTAAAATAATTATAAAAATAAAACATATATTAATTAGTATATAAATTATTTTATAATTGAGTTTTTTATAAAATAATTAATTCATTACAATTTTTTTTCTTTATTAAATTCAAAAATGTTCTGTAACTGTTAGAATAATAAGCTTGTATTGAGTGCATGCAGTTCTTAAGTTTGGTATCATTAACTTGATCATCAAAAAATTCTTTCACTACAAAAATTTTTTCATTTTCATTTCTCTGATCATAATTTTAATGTTAGTTTGTATGCTTCATTTATTTATAAATAGCATACCAAAACAAACAAATAATCTAAATATGTTGCACATTTATTTGAATATGCTGACATATCTCTTAAGCTCATTTGAGCATTATAGGTTAAAAAAAATTGAGGAAAATTTACAAGTTTTCTCAAAATAAATTTTTCACTATAATAAGAAATATGGCTATAAAATATTTTTAAATAAATTGTTGCCTCTGTATTATATCAAATATATCTATAATATTCATTAATGATTATATATAATCTTTTCTATCCTTTTGTTATCTTAATTGAAATACCGGAAAAAAATATGTTGATTTTTATAGAACATATTCAAATAATGGTGAAAGTTCTACTTTTATAATTGTGAAAATGGCAAAAATAATGATTTTTAAATGTCATAATAAAAATTATTTCAATATCAATCATTTCATGGTTTTCACTAAATAGTTTCTATTACATAAAACAGTAATTTTATAGTTCTTATATATATGTAAAATATACAAAAATTTTCATATATATTATAATAATAACTAAAATATTTGCTACTAAGGGAATAAACCCAAATCTATAATTGTAAAATATTTAACTATAATGTTAATCTTAGATAAAACAGATTTTCATCTTCAAAAAATTTACATTGATAGCCACCAATAAGTTTTTGTCAATATAAAATATAATAAAGATAACGTATTGCTTTAATATACTATTTATTATAATTATAAAAGAAATATAATAATGGGTTAACTTGTTTTTGGTGTTAAAATATTAAATTTATCATTTTGAAACTATAAATACTTTTAAACTAAATATAAAAGCCTGTTTTAACTAAATCAAAACTTATTATTTTTTTCATTAAATTATACTGTTCCATATAGTTTAAATTATTATTTTTAAACTATATAGAAATTAAGAAAAAATTATACTAAGGTAGGAAAACTCAGTGTGAAGACCATTCACTCAAAGAAAATTCAATAACTTGAGAATTTCTAAGTAATGACAATTTTAAAGACTCAAATTTGCAATTGCCACACAGGGCCATTGAGAGCTTGTATGGGACCTGGAAGTAGATTGGGCCCTTTATCACTTTTTCCCCCTTTTTCTTTTTGAACAAATGAAATATGTAGAAAGTAAAAAATTAATAAAAAATCGAACAATAAGTAGTCTTTAAGATTAACATGAATTTATAGGGGTAAGAACTACTACAGGTCTGAGTTTTTTCTGAGCTTTGGGAAAAATCCCCAGCTCCCCTTTCAATGGCCCTGCTGTCATATAGTAAATAATTATCAATTTCACTTTTTGAGCATTTCTAATTCAGCCATCATCTAGACTTGTAAATTATTTATAAGTTAATATATTGTATTAATCTCACAGGTTATTTCAGTGTGATAACTAGAAACAAAGTTCAAATGCATTCATTTGCATTCAGATATTCATTGAAATCCTATACGATAGCTTACTATATCATGTTTTCAGTTGTGGAAATGATGAAATGTAGAGTGTAAATAAATTAAATTTCATGTTTGAAATATAGAATGTTCAGATAATGTAATTGGTAATATATCTGCAATAATGGGCTAATATGACAGCTCCTGCTCTGACTTGACAATTTTCTAGATGTATCAATAAAATGATGATATGATGATTCTGTCTATATCAATATGTATGGCTACATTCTGCTAGTATCATATCCATTTATTAATAAATATCTTTATAGATAGCTTAAAAGTAATAATTTTAGCCAATCAGGTTTATCATTTGTCTGTAACTAAAACTGGACTTAGTGTTTTTTTGTTTTTTAAATAAAAGTTAGAAAATAAGAAATAATTTGAGATCTCAAAATTCACTTTATTAGTTTGATTTACATAACATCTGAAATTAGAAAGAATTATATAAGCATAATTACAGCCATTTCAATTTGTTCATTTTTTTTTTGTTTTTGTGCAAGATGGTACAAAAACAAAATAAATGAAAATGTTAGTGCACAAGAATAGTGACACAACTCAAAAAAATAGTTCTTCCAGAACAGCCATTTAAAAGTTTTTTATTTCTGCAAGGCTTTGTCATGATCTTGAATTTTTAAAATTTTTAATCTTTTTTGGAAATAAAGATTTGAAAATTTCATTACTTATATGAAATTTTAAAGATAGGTAGCAATAAAATGCTAATAACTTCAATTCAAATCACTTTTTATTTCTTAAAATCACATATTTGGCACATTCATATTGCAAAAATTTTATCATTATTATCAATTTTATCATATTGCAAAAATTTTATCATGCAAAAATCATTTACTATCACAAAATATTTCCATATTACACTGCTAAACTTTTTGTTGACATTGTTTTTATTTTAATTTAACTTAACATTCTCCAAAAACACAAACATAATCTATGCTATCCCGTGTCACACTAAACCAGGCATGGCCAACATACAGCCCGTGGGCCAGATTTGGCCCGTCTAATGAATTTATGTGGCTCGCGATCAATCTTTCAATATTAGCTACTGAAGTCCAAATAGCTCAATAAAAATCGCAGGATATGCTCATCAGAAATATTTTGTCATGATATCATGCCATAAAACTATATATAATAAATGTGTTTACAGTATGTTTAATGGAGTTTTCTTATTTCATTATANCACGCGTGTATTGTTGAGAATAATTGTGACGTTCTAGCAGAAAATATGAACTTATTCTATAATTGAAATATATTTACGTTAGCTTATAAAAATTTTATATTTTAATAGTTGAAAAATATTAATTAATTATAAAATATTCAATTACAGATGCATTCTTTGGTGTATAATGACACGATACTTACTCATAAAGATAAATATTTTATGTAAAACGCCAATAAATAATATTTATATAAAATTAAATGTTGAAGATTATCAAAGCCTTTCGGGGACCACCATGGAAGGTTATATCTGTTCTCACCTCACCACAAGACTAGAAATTATAATCGTAAAAGTGATTGAGATATACACTTATAATATTTATATAAAATTATATAGTGTTTGGCATAATAACTAGACATTTATAATTGCCTGTTTTTCTGCCAGATCCTATATACATATGAAAATTATCCAGAAAGTAAGTTTTCCAGGTCTTTAACACTTGAACAACAATGGAAACATGATAATTATGCTTAATAATGCAAGGACATTCTACTATTTGCCATTTATGATATCTGGAAACAAGCATTTATATGCTACAGTTGTAGAATTCTTCCTGCAAGTGCAAACCACAGCTGGACAACTTTTGTTTTATTATTATTGTTTATTTACTGATTGGACAAAAATCTTTTCATTTGAAGAAAGAAATAGAAATTTGAAGGAGCAAGACTCGGGCTATTAGTTGATATTCAAAAATGTCTCATTTGAACTTATCCAATAATGCACACATGCAAACTTTATATGCAGTCGAGCTTTGTTATGAATAAAGCAAACTCCTTTAATGATTAAACCTTATTGCTTGTTTTAAAACAAGATAGCATAATTTTTGAAGAATGTAACTGTAGTTTTCAGTACAGTAGTTTCCCACAAACTTCACTTAATGTGTACTGAGAAGGTGGTGAGTTAACAAAAATGACATGTTTTATGGACTCCTGTGTTAACAGTAAAATGAAGGATCTATGATTCTAGTCTAAATAGCAAAAGTTTCATAAATGTATTGTGTGTGCAAATTCACTATACATATTAACCATATACCATTAGTGTCTATTTCTATTTGTAGCTAAATTTTAATTTTAAAAAATATTGGCTATTTAGTGGCCCTTGGATAAAGGGTTATATTCTTTGCTAAAATGTGGAATTGATGCTATTATCAAGTGTCACTGGTGAATAGTGATAATTTATTTCATTCCAGGGTTAAGCTATAGATGTAAAATTAGATTACATGTATTCTTTTTACCTCTATGTCCTTAATGTTTTACTTTTTTTGTTTAAAAATTGTCTACTTGGACCTTGTTTATAAATAGGACTTATTATACTGATGTAGTTTCTGATTAGTGAAGAGAAGTCTTAGTCAAATAGTAAAACAAAATATCTTTATTTTCACCTGCTGAAGAGGGGCCTACAGGTCTGAAACACCCAAAAAGTGTGTACAGGTAAAAATAAAGATATTTTATTTTACTATTTGATTAAGACTTCTCTTCACTAATCAGAAACTACATCAGTATAATAATTCCTATTATAAACAAGCTCCAAGTAGACAATATAAAAACAAAAAAGTATTTTGTTTTTGAACGACATGACAAGTTTTATGGAATGTTGAATTATTGAGAGTTGAGTTTCCAGGACTCCCAGAAATGGCACACTCTTGGTGGAATTTTTGCCAAATAGTTCTGATTAGTACTGTTTGGCAAAAATTCCACCAAGAGTGTGCCATTTCTGCCCTAAAATACATTTGGTTAGATTTTTTATTTTAGTAGTCATTTTGAAATGTTGAATCAGACCAACAAAGATTTTACACAATAAAACTCATATTTAATGACTAGTTACAGTTTTCTGCACATGGCACATGTTAATGGATATGCTATACTTTAGTTACATGCTATGCTTCATTCAGAGGCACTCTTCAGATACCTGAAGAGTGCCTGTGAATGAA